ACACACACACACACACGTTCATCATGATCAGCTCTGGTCTTCTCAGATCCACTCAGGTATTACATATAAGGCCTGGGACCTGACCCGTACCCGACTGACCGTATAAAATGTGGATCCAAACCCATATGGATCCAGTCTGAGGTCCTTTCGTTCGGGATGGACCCATGAAGACCTTTACCACTACAGTAGGTGTCTCCAAGACCACATTTTAATATGATGACACACAGAAAAAAACATGCAGAAAACCATGGATATAAAAGGAAGATGTGTCTACCACCACCAAGATGGTGCCCCATTCATTCTTATGAAAGTTGCTCACTGGGTGTATACACCGAAAAAGTCTCCAAGGCCTTGGAGCATACACACTAGTGTCCTTCTCCCACTGGGCCAGTTGATAGCCTTCATGGCTGAAACTTCATCTGGCCAAGGCAGCTAACTTTCCGGTTTGGTCTCTGCACACATGAATTGCAATTGCAGTTAAAATTATTTCATTTTAACAGATAATGAATGTTTCAAACATTCCAAATTTTATTGGACCCAATAAATCAAATTGTAATAGTATAAAGACTATCTTTGCACGATTGTGACACTCTTCTTGTAATGATTGTGTAAGGGAAAAGTTATTGTACGACGTGATGCTACAATACCGAGAAGGGCCACTACATCAAAATTATAGAGCTATTCCAGAGGGTTTGCTCTGAACCATATCACTGACTTCTATAACAGCCTAACTCACAAGCATTCTTGAAGGATGTAATATTAGGGAAACCTGATTTTTGAAGTCCTGGGGCTGGACTTAAGGAGTCAGTATGTGACAGATTGTTGAGAAACATCAGGAGAGTCCAAAAGTGTATGTTGTTATCTCCATTTGAAAACTTATAGCATCTTGTCCCAATCTATGACAGAATGGTTTTTGTCTTGCCTAAAAGTGTGGTTATTTGGAACAACTGTAAGCACATTTGTCCTTGGACATGGTCAGATGACACAAGCAAGGGTGTTTCAAGCATACCCCAGCCTTTAACATTTGACCCTGCAGAGACTACTCCATTTGTCATTTATTTTCTTGTTTTGTATTGTATATTTTCAGGTAGCATAGGGGCAGTAGTGGGGTGGGTGGTGGGGGGGCTCTTTAGAACTTTTGTGGTTTCATCTTTATCCTAACTCCATTTTACAGCTAGTCTCACGATTTAAACATGTAACCCTTGAGCCACAATCATACTGACCGCAAGCCTGTAGTACAGGAAAAGTTGTGTTTCTACAATTTCTTGGGGTTACGGGCAAGTTCAGTGGTGGTTCATGGATCCTAACTTTAATGCTTGGCTTCAGTAGTAGTGCGTAACTTCAGATAAAAAAAAAAACATTCCAAAGTAAAGCAGTAATACAGACTAAGTGTTTAGCAAAGCCTAATATTAAGGATATAGGCTGAGTATCTCAGATGATCCAGACCTGTAAATGTATATAAATGAATCGACACCCACAAGAGAAGCAGTTATATAACCAGACCTTTTTTGCTCCTATTGGTGACACATTTGAAAGAGGTTTATGGTATGACTTGGTTAGAGGCAGTTCCATATTCATTTGCACAATTTTGTTGCACACACTATTAAATTCAGTTGTCTAGCATATCAATTACTCAGTGATCTGCATATTCTGAGGTAAAATCAAAGTAAACCTGATGGGGGCTGACATGCACCAGTTAGATGAAGTAAAGCAATTCTCTGGTCACAGAATATCAGACATATTCACAAGATCCTGTTCACCCATTATGTGAAAACATAGGTTAAGTATTTTTTTCTTCTTTAGAACAATGAGTGCTTTTCCCATGGGAACTGGTTCTCATGTGCCACTACAGTCAAAGGACTTTCGTAGTACATCAGCACAGAAAGAGGTGGCGCCATTTTGTAGGAAGTCTTACCCACAAAATGGCAGTGTGCAACTTATTAACCCTTTAAAGACCAACCGTCTAGTCCAGCAGACCAGTTCACGGATTGAGCTCCCCAGTAACTTCACCCATACTCATGCAACATCAACAGAGTAGTACTGAAACTGCACATGGGTGCACTGAAGTCCCATTGAGGACTTCAATCATCAGCCCAGTTGCTGTCACCACCAGTAGTACTGCCTGTCGGCCACAGCACGCAGGGACAGCTGCAGCAGCACAGGAGCCGACCGCGGTCCAGTCGCCCGGATGAAGTCGTGCTACCGCCCCGCCAGGCTCTGGCAGAGACAGCCATAGACAATTTAGGGGGCGGGCTCTCTCGGATTTCTTCGCACCTTGTCATTGGCTGTAATCATACAGTTGTATAACGTACGTACAATTTCGGGCACATTGTCTGAAAATGCGCAAATAAAGAAAATGGAGGCGGATCTGGCTCCAGCGCTGCTATCTGGAGCACAAGGAGCTGTGTAGTCTACGTCGTGCGGGAAAAACACTTTGTCTTTTTGACTGTACGACTCACAGTCCAGAAAGGAAAAAAAAAAGGGTCTCCAGTCCTGACTCTTGTTTCCCAGGGAAGACGGAAGCCATCTACAAGGACAGTGGCTTTCTCCGTGTACTGGTGAAGAAAAGACGACATGTGATGTCTTCTAACCGAGTGTGTGAAGTGATTATTACAACACGGACGATGTAGCCGATGAGCCACAAAGGAAACCCGGCGGTGAAGCACACAGGAGCCACACGGAGCACCGATCTGGTAAGGAGTCCTACTAAAGAGCAGCTGCGGAGGAGCCATTAGCTGCTGGTCCAGGGCTAGCTTGCATTGTGCTAGTCACTGAGGTAACGTTAGCCAGCTACCTAGCTGTTAGCTTCATACAGAGCATCAAACAACGCCAGTGCAGCATTATTTAACACGTGACGAGAGTTACTAACGATAACCGGTGCTGTGTGTGTGTGTGTGTGTGTGTGTGTTTTTTTTTGTCGAGCTCGTTGCCTTTTGTCTGCTGTCCTCCGTCCAGGCAGGTTACAAGTACAGCATCTTACAACACACAGCCTCCAGGTGTTCATGTAAAGAGTACAGCATGGGATGGTTTGAAGTGCTCACTTCTGTCCAAATGATCACTGAGACCGACAGAGAAACTTTATATGAGAAAGTTTTGCTGATGTTGTTGTCATGCATCTGCTGGTAATTATGTCTAAGTAGGCTTGAGGTAGCTCTGTTGATGTGTTGCTCCATTGCTTTAGTTGTTTATAATATGCACAGTAAGCCCTAAAACAAGTTAACAAAGTAGTCACCCATGATTTAATTAAATCCAACTATTTGCTCCTACAATCTCAGTTCCATTATCTTGGATGATGCATCTCTGTTATCAACCCACTGGAATAATAGTTTCTCCAACCTTAACCAGTATGTCCATCTTTGACAAAGAGGTCTGTATTCCAGGTAGGGAAGTATCCCCTTCACTCACCTGGTAGAGCGCATACTACATGAGCCGAGTTCGAATCCAGTCCCATCACTTTGCTGCATGTCATCCCCTCTCTTTAATAAAGCGAAAAGCAAGAGATTTACTGACAAATATACTCCCAGGCCACCTTTTTAGGTACACCTGTACAGTGCTTCTACTATTACTGTATATATCTAATATGCTTTGTAAATGGATTAATACAATGCATTCTAGTCGCACTGCAACTTACAACCTCAGTAATAACATATAGTTCAATTATTACATATGTTATAGTCCCATGTTTTTAATCATCTATTAAAAAAATTGTAGTATATAGTAGTATAGTAGTAGTATAAGTTAGGCCAACCTCTTAGTAGTACGTTTGTAATACGTTTTTTTTTTCTAACTATCAAATAAAACCCCATAACAAGTAAGTAAAGTTGTGGGGTGCATCGGTAGCTCACCTGGTAGAGTGTGCGCCCCATGTACTAAGGCTGAGTGCTTACCTTGCTGCATGTCATCCCCTCTCTCTCTCTCCACTTCCCTGTCTCTCTTCAGCTGCTCTTATCTAATAAATAAAATCCCATCTTTTAAAAAATTGGGATTTTGCACCTGTCCTTTTGGTATTCGCTATAATGCTCACCATTTAGGAAGAAATTGATTAACTTTGTTGATCAGGGCAAATTCTTTTTAGTAGGTAATGTATGTGTGGTCTGATTTGCCTGGCTTTGGCAAATGTCAGGTTAGGTTACATTGGCTGTGTTGTCCTTGGTTTATTTTGAATTGTGTCCACTTAGGGAGGTTGTTTTTTAGCTATTTTGCTCCTTGCAGAGACAAGACACCTGCACAACTGTCACATGGGTACACGGTCAGTGTAAAGGCTTTGTTATTGCATTTGTTTTTGATAGACACAAGAGAAAAGTAGTATGTCACTGTAGCTGTTTCCCACCCCTGTGTGTTTATATCAGCAATATTGTTTCTGTTGCTGGTCATTGCTGATTTTCACTGCTAGGTATTGTGACACTTTTAGAGAGACCTTGTTTCTGGGCGGGTAGAGCCTAATTGCCGATATTATTATGTCTCATCTTGGTGTTTGTAGTGTTTCTACATTACTGTTGTCAGTGATTAAGATATTTTAATACACTGCATTTTCGTAGCTGTGGCCTCTGTTGAGTCAATTCTATTGAACAGTTGTGCAAAAAGCACTATGAAGTTTTTTGTTCATATGCAGTATTAATGGATGTTAATTGGTTTGATTCAGTCCTCCCCCTTATACATATTCTGCGGCCCGTTAAAAAAATAAATAAATAAATAAATGAAAATTCTGAATGTGTCATAAAAACCAGCAAGGAGACTGAGCATTTAGTTAGTTTATTTCAACACAGAGTTATAATAGTCCTGTTTGGAGCTGCTGTAAGTCAGCTGGCCTCTGTTGGCCTGCTCCCAGTTGTGAGGCCAGTTCCAGCAGCATTCCCCGCTGGGTTTCTCCCTGTTCCTACACTAGTATAACTACCCCTGCCCTTAGAGTTCCCTCAATAGTGTACTAATAGGACTGCTAACAAGCTAACTAGCTAGTTGCAGCAGCTAGTACAGTTGGCATATGCAACAGCGCACTGGTAAGTGACTCCCTGTGCTACTAGAAAAACGGTCTGTGTTGCAACAATCCCTCTGATACTTTTGTCCCAGTGCGAGGCGCGGCTCCCAAACGAAGTTTTTCTGCGACTATCCGACTAATGAAAAGTGAATACTAAGGATTAAGACAACTATTAAGAGGCAGCCCTATAAATTTTATCTGTATCGACTGGAATATGTAATCAACACAATAATCAAAGCGGTATGTATAAATTCATGCAAAAATTCCCAGAAAAGGAGGGGCGTGTAATGGGATCAAAGTAAAGACACACCAGAGTTAGGTCAGTTACTCCCGAGACCAGCTCCGTTTACTGCGTTTGAATATTATCTGTATTGCATTGAACTCTATTTGGCTCAAGGAGGATTAAGGAATGTGTGAGAGGGCCTGAAGACATCTGGCCCAGCTGAAGGTTTTCTCCCTCAGTAGCATGTCACAGTTGAACAGCAACAAACAAGGGCATAGAGAAGGACACAGTAATCTTCTGTGTCTACCTAGGAGATTGCCTTGGTAAGGAATCGTATATATTTGCAAGACAGTATAGCTTTTAATGCTTTTCTGTCCTTGTCGCTCTGTGTTGTGTGGTACACCATGTAAACCGTATGTTACACACCAGCAACACCAGCGAGCACAAGCGTCGCCTGTCAGTCAGCATATACAGTGAGGCTGACAGCTGTTTTTGTAATGTATCCTGGGATAGTGGCTGGTGGCTGCAGACAGACGCCATTAACCAGTGTTGTACATTAATAAAATATAATAATTAGTTTATCCATAGTATTTCTGGTGACAGCTAGCAAGATCAGCAACATCTAACCGACAAGTCGACTAATCACGCACGTCCCTTCTTTTATTGCCCATAGCACGCTGGATGCAGATGGTGGTCTCTGAAAAGACTAACTTTGGAAGGCACCCTCTTGATTTGTCTCAGGGCTCTGTTGCATTGAGCCCTGATAACAACCATATGAACAACCAGATATGCAACTCAACATATATGACACATTTGTAAGTTTCATGTTGCACTGGCACCATGTGTTTGGTTCGGGAAAAAAATGAATGGTTCCATTTTGCATTTGTTCATTCCAACACACGTTCCACATCAAGCCTACTGAATCCAAGCATGAATCCAAAGTAGTGAAAGCTTTGTATGCAATTGAGGAGGGGGAAAGTTCTCCACTGGAGAGAAACTGCTACTAAAATGTCACCTTCCTGCACACACCCTATGTAAACCAGTAAAATGGCATAATTCACAACACCCTTCATGCTTCTGCATAATGGTAATTTGCCTTGATGTAAGCTGTGGGCAGTTGTTTGTCATCAGACATTTTGTGTACTTGTGCTTGGTTATGTTATGGAGCTAGCAAGGATGACCTAGAGATGGACATGGTTTCTCACAGTACAGGTGTCAAAAAAGTAGGATGAGGGGGGGCACCTTGATAGCTCACCTGGTAGAGCTGGTGCCCAATGTACCAAGTCCTTGCTGCAGTGGCCATGGGTTTGACCTACGGCCCTTTGCTGCGTGTCACTCCCTCTCTCTCTCCCCCTTTCCTTTTCCAGTCTACAGCTGTCACTATTGATTATAAGGCAAAAAAAATCTCAATTTTCACCTATTCTTTGTATCATTTAAAATATACATTCGAACTACTAACCCCCAAATTCCACCATACACGCCATGGTTGCCAGAGTTGATCGCTCTGTTCTAGGCAATGCTCTAAACTCCACCAGAATTCCCAGAAGTGGCTCTCCACTCTGCTCTGCGGGGAATACACAGCTGGTCTATTTTTGACGGTAGCCACGAGCCACTTGCATCAAGCAGCACAGAGCAGATCACACTAGCAGGAAGTCATATATATGTATGTATGTATGTATATATATATATATATATATATATATTACACTGGCACCAGGGCAGAAGTCAATGAGTCAGAGGCATGTTAGAGGAGATTTTAAGCAGGGAAATGGACCATCTTGTATCCCTTTTTTAATGTGATGGCAGGCAACGCACTATAAAGACACTCCACTCCTGAAACGCTCTCAGTGGGATTTGACACGCGGATCACAGAACTAAAGCCGGATGCAGACAGAATGTTATAAAAGAATGGTTACAGTCGCCTAAAATGGACAAACCAAACACTGGCTCCAGATAAGAGTGGTCACGCTTTTCACGGCCACTAGTTTAGGGGACAGTGAAGCAAGGAAGTTGCTATTCTAGACACTGGACCCTTTTTTAAAAATCACATTCTAATTCACTGACAAATTGCTGGTGAAGCCAGTATTGTTCGTTTGGTCTGATAGAAACATGTCAAACTAGGGGTAGGAATGTCTCATAGACATAAAACTTGGGTGGCGTAAGTACTTATAAAATGGTAAATGCTTGTGTGCTGAAGGAGTCTGCCAACACTCCCAGGTGGCTTGGTGTGCAGGTACATGCCTGCTACTTCAGAGCTTACATAGTGTTTCCTCCTACTGCTTTCCTGCTGTCTCTATCACTGCAGCTATGAAAATCAATCCAGTTAAGTCTGTGTTATTCTCTCACAGTATGCTATAAAAACCACAATGAACAAAATTCTTGCAAGGAGACGCGGGGATAGAGATAAGCCAATTATAGAAACTCCTGATTACCTTCTGGTTGCTGTTCTTGAAGTAACACTTTGGATTAGGGTTGAGGATTTAAAGTATTGTCCTGCTCTAGCAAGAATTCCCTGATTCATTTCATAAGATTACTGGTGTTGCTGGTAGCTTTATGAGCAACACTGATGAGATCCCAAGCTGCTAGAACTGCACAAGTGGTATTCCATACAGAGAAACCGCCTGACAAAGATATGTTTGGAGTTCCTCCAAAGTGAGGCCACCGACTTTTCATCCAACCAGTTCACTGTAGCTGCAGGTCCTGATGTTGTGCATTATTATTATTTTGTAGGGTTTCTGAAAAAATTGGTGCCAGTCCATGTGATTTCAGTGTCTTGGACAAATTGGAGAAGTTCCTGGTTAATATCTGTTTATTGGGCTAAAAGCTACATTATGCAAGAATTGGTATTATTTGCAATCTGTTTTCGAGTGCAATTCACAAATACCCAGTTCTCATAAATATGGATGGATAGCTGTACATGTGCATTTGTTCTGATTTCATTACTTATGATCAAAATCTAGCGAGTCCGCAACTTTGCTAACGCAGCCAAAGATCAAGCAAGTGCCACAAACCAGACCACGGCAAGCCAACTAATATTACTTACTAGTGCAGCAGCAAGAAGGCCAGTTCAGCATTTGCAGCCTTTTATTTTGCGAACCTCTCATTGACGACTAAAAAGTCAGTCCTAGATCCACTGTTGTCCGGCGACCTCTTGCTCAGTCACAGCCTCCTTTTTTCCTCCGTCAATGTTGTCTTTGGTTTTATCACCTCTGCCATGAAAAGGCTGCTCTGTCTGTTTTCATCATCTGTACATCTTTTGTATTGATTACATTAATCTATTATTAGTTAGATCTTAGAGAGGATGCACCTTCCCTAATATTTCGGCCTCCAGGCCTTCATCAGAGCATGGCGGAAAATGGAAACCATGTCTTTTTATATACAGGAATTGGCAGGTGATTGGATTAAATTTTTATGTGACAATTCACTTCCTATGGTCACATATGTATTATCTACATGTTTCCATATTTTTTAACTTGTTTAAAGGAAATATTTAAAAATGGAAGTCATCATTCAGTCCAGCAGGTGTCATTTTTGAAATCCATTACATCTCTCTCTGAGAGAGTAGTTTAGGTAGGTTGCCCCCTCTGGCTAGAGGAGTTACATGCTCAAGTCCAATGAAGTGCAGAGTAGCTGGAGACCCATGGTTGGCTTCATGGTAGTGTTTGGATGTGACATAGTCCATAGTTCCCTGTGCAAATGGTTGTTTTATGTTCTGAGATCCTTTGAGTGCTCTCTTTGTTTGTCATACGCTTTTCCACAGGGACATGTAAGCATGCAGATGTACTGATGTATATGAACAGTTTATTGGGAAACTTCTTTCCAGTGTGTGGATGGGTGAAAAAATTGGCATTAGAGGTTGTTGCACTGGCTGCATTTTCCATATCTAAATCTGAACATCATTTAAATTGAGCCAAGTATAATTAGGTTCCGTAGGTAGGTGTACAAGATTGTCTCTCATTGTTGGTGCTTGTCTAAATGACAGGGGAGGGAGACCTTTAGTGATCTGACGCAGTGATGGTTCTGCATTTAGGATGTGCCAGTGCTTTTTGATCATGTCCAGGAGTTTCTGGTGACAGTGATTGAATTCATTTGTGAAGGGTATTCTTTTGGGTTTTTCAGATGTGACTTTAGGCTTGAGTAGCTTAGATCTGCCTTGTATTTGAATCGTCCCGTTCTGAACAGTTTCTTCTGAGTCATAAGAATTGTCCCTTAGGTACGTTTTGTTTCAAATGGTTTGGGGGTTACTGTTGTGGTGGTCTCCAGTGTAGTTATTAGGGCAATTGAGTACAAAATAAGGTGCGGAAATGACCAAATCTGTCATGAAACCCCCCCCCCACAAATTTCGATAGGGGTTCAGTGATTGATTGTATGCCTGAGACAATGGGCCTTTAGTGAGGTTGTTTTGCATCTTTGTGTATTTCTAGGTTCCCATACAGTATTGGACTCCTGGGTTACTTTTTTGAGAGAAAGTCCAGTTCCTCTCAAAATAGTTAATACATTTTTCTTATTGGCTTTTTGCTTGCTGGTAGTCTGCTCAGCTTTCTGTCTCCTCGGAGCAGCAGCTACCTGCTGTCACACAGAGCTCAGCGGAAAGTTGGAGAGCTGACGACAGCTGCACACGTTACAATGCTATGCATGAAAGCTTCACAAGTAACACAACTCCATATAGCTTAATGCAGTATAGCATTGATCCCAAGTTTGAACCTATCGTGACGTCACCCATTGGTTTGTAGAATACCGCTTGGAAGCCTTTTAGTTTGCTGTTTTGGACGTTGGACCATAAATCACATGAGAAGTCGGGTCATTTCTCCATTAGAGTGCATGTTATTGTTTTTTTATTGCAGCCAAAGGAACGACCCCTGCTGGTCATTATATAGAATGCAGGTTTTAAGACACTTCCGTGTCACTTTACAGACCCAGAAACTCTATCATACCAGTGTGGTATTAGTTTAGCATCAAAACAGCACTGATGTTGTACAATTGGTGTCTTTTGGATGAGAAAACGAAATCCAAAACTTGTGTTCTATTTTTTGAAAATGAGCAAACGCAGCAAAGCGAAAGTAATAGCCGAGAAGAGACACGAAGATGCGATAGTTGGGATTATTTTAAAATTAAAAATTAAGGACAACATTGTGGTGGTGTGTACAAATTGCAAATGGAGCTGGCGTACCATAGCTGAAGTAATCTTATTTATTTATAATTGGCCACTTCTTGACGAAACGGTTACTAACGTTTGCATAATATGCGTATAAAAAAAATGTCAATTTTTCTTAAAAAAGGAAACAAATTGGTTGGCTATTAATTAAGTGATCTGTTCTGTATTTTCTTATTGTATAGTTATACCGATGCGCCCTTTAATTAAGCAAACCATGTTTTATCCCGATACTCAACTTAATCGAGAAATATTCAATATAATACTCCAATTACCAAATATTTCGAATAGCTCCCAGCCTATTTGTTAGTTACCTTCTAGACTGAGAACCATTTTTATCTACAGATACCAGGGTTCACACACCCGTGGATCCGCCAAGTGGAACGCGCCATGTTTCTACAGTAGCCCAGAAGGACAAACCAAATACCTGGCTCTAGAATGGGGCCATTCGCATTTTCACACATTTACACGGCCACCACCGTTTATCCATCCATGGCTTAGATTGCACCTAAAATCCTAACATACTTGGAATGGTTGGTCTGTTGGTAGATTGTCAAGATATGTAAGATCAACTAGCCACGTAAGACTGTGGCACAGAGAACGGCACTTCTACCATTTCACAGGCACCAACCTTGAATTTTCTGTCTTGTCTGGGAGTAGCCACTGATTCGCAGATTTTTATCTTGCAAAGTCAAAGCTGCAATAACAGGTAAGTATGAGCATTTCTTTCCTTTTTACAGGCAGCCAGGTTTGATGTCTTACAAGATTTAGATGCCAGCAGACATTTTACCAGGTACAAATGTTTTTTCAAGTTTGATGTGTGATGTTTTCTTTGAGCTTGTCCCTTACGTATTATTTCAGTCAATCTCCGGAGAGAGAAGAAAATGAAGTGCTGGCAAACAGGAACACCCCTTTCTCACATTCATTTTGAATGGGTAGTGCGTTTAGGCTGCGGCAGTGTGGACTGCAGGGGAGTCCGGGAAAAAATGTAGCAACATGCTAATCAACTTTTGGACAAAAGCAAGTTGATGTCATGCTGTGGTGGCTAATCCGTTGATCAGACCAGTCAAACTGCTCCACAGTTGGACTGAAATGTCACTGAAACAGCACTTCCAGACTGGCCCCATTCAAACGAATGAGGGAGATGCATTTTTTTCATAGAGAACAGAAGTTGGTCTTTGCCTGAGTCATTTACACTGCCTCATTCAACAATAAAATAGATCTGGGATCAAAAGCTACCTACTATATACCCAGTTAACGTCTGCAGTTCTACTCCCATGCTGAAAACAGTCTGGGCTAATCCCTCCCCAACCCTACCCAAGTGTTTGCTGAACTGCAGCCACAGAAGCTGCAGTTCTTCTTGTCTCCTGATATATTTGCTGATTCAGGACCTTCACACGCCAGCTAATCCTGAAAGGCCATCAGGCTCCTTCACTGCTGGTGTCCACCAAATGTGAAATACAGATGTGACAGACACTGATGTCTTTCTGGTCGCAACTTTAAGAAGTCATATCCACATTGTAGGCTTTGAACATGGCCTATTTGGATTAAGCATCCCCGTCTCCCTGGAATTTTGAAAATGTTCTTCAGGTTCTCAATCTTCCTAATTAACCCTCACAAGTCATTTTGGTTTTTCCAGGTTTGTCTGGTAGTCTTTGCTGCCACCTGATCCAACTCACCACCCAGTGGTGATCAGTTGTCTCTGCTCAATTCTTCACCAGAGTTTCCTCAGTGTATGGCCCCAGATTTAATGAAACAACAACAAAGTTTATGATGATCTTTTGTCTAAGTGTTCTTGTACCAAGTACCCTTTTGAAATACTGTGCTCAAACAGGTGTTTTGGGCAGTGCATTACTAGCACAGAAATCCATTAACAAAGCACCACTCTAGTCCAGATCAGGCAGGCCATTCCTTCCAATTACCCACACTCAAGTTTCTCTGTTGTTGCCCATATAAGCATTCAAGTCTTACAACTATCTCTCCTGAACCCCAACACCAAGGAGGCCATCAACTCTAGGCACCTCTTTGGTGCAAGGGTCAGTCAGAGCCTGCTTACTGCTGACATGCATTCAGAGAACTCCAACCCTATGTCAAGAAAGTTGAGATCCCTGATCCGCTAAAACCACTTTGAAAAGCAAAGGGCTTTCCATCGTCTGGCCCTACAGTGGAAAACAAGGGACTTTCCATCGAGTAATGAAGAAAGATAACAACGGAACATTAGAGACTCTCTGTTTATTGCTCCACCTTTTACACAAGCTCTGGCTCCTTCCCTTACATTTCACACATGAGAAATTTGTTCCAGTAGCTTGATGCCAGTGCACCCAGCTTTCAACCATAGTCCACTACTTGGCTGACAGTGCACCTAACCCATGTGCCATTGTTCATGCCTCTATTCTTGGTTCTTGGTTGATTCTCAAAAATTCCCTCTGTAAATTCTTCTCAGTCATTTTTTTAGTGGGTTTTTTAATGTTTCAATAATATTAATGCTGTTTTTTTGTTTTTTTTTTTGTTTTTTTTAGGTTTCCATTCAGATGTAACCCACATCATCCTGGATAATCCTGGTCCCTTTATGTCCAAGAAAAGGTCAGATTTTCCTTTTTTAATTATTGTGTACAGTTTTGTTTTATAATATTGTAATTTGTCTTGTATAATTCTATGCTTCTTTGTGTTTTCAGGATTGGGTAAAATAAGCCCCAGCTTCCAGTCCCTGCAGAGAATGGCTCATGAGTGGGATTCATACTTCCATAACATTTCATCTCTATCATCGGATTCAAGCACTTTGAGAAAGACATCAGAATCAGAGGGTCTTCCCCAGCACATAGAGAACCTCATTGGAAACCATGACTTCTCTGGCACAGTGGCTTCACATGAAACACCTGCAACAAACTCAGACTCAAACTTCAACACAAACTTTTACTCCAATCCCAGTACTGGAATTTCCAGATCAGACTGTGTTTATCAACAATACTACAAGGAAATGACATGGCAAGCTGATGGAGAACAAATGGAAAAAGATTACTTGCCAGATTTTGCCACAGATGGATTATCAACACCAACATCTTTTTCTTCTACATCTTTTGCAGCAGATTTACAAGGACTTAAGCAAGACTGTGGAATGCTAGCTACATCATTTCTTGAGGACTATTCAGATGTCAGTAGCTGCTCAGATGCAGATGTGGCTGAAACAAGATCCTCTTGTAAATTTATGGCAAGTAATTCGGTTCCAAAACCTAAAACTGATATTTCTGTAAAACATAACTCATCGGACTGGCTTTTCACTCATACTGATAATGTGACATTTCCTACTGAGAGTCTATGCCCTAATATGTCAGACACTAATGTAATTTTTTCAAGTCCATCAGATGTGAAGGCAGGAGAAAACACTGTTGAACATACACAATGCAAGATGGAAAGTCCAGTAAACACTGTCAAATCTTGTGCTGGACACAATCAGACCTCTACTACATCGAACATGATGATGACTACAGGGAGTGTGACTGTAAAGGATATAAATTATCATAATTGTCAAGATCAGAAAGAAAAGGAGGATGTGGAAAAAGACCTCACTCAAGAAAATCATTCAAACATTTCGATAGGGACCCATGAAAACCTTACTGGTGATGGAATAGAGAAGTACCAGGATGGCAAGAAGGACAAGCAGATCACTGCAACTGCACCTAATATCATGAATACAATTGACAATGAGCAAGATTACTTGGATGAAAAACTCCTAAGAAAGGAAATGGAGGAATCATTCAACCAAGAAAATAAGGGATTTGATTATTCCAACCCCACAGATGGTCACGATAGAAATATGAGAGAGGATGAGCAGGACAAAAGTAACGGCTTAAAAGAGGAAATAAAGGAATCGGGTTCATCAGAAAATGAGGTTTTGGATGAGCAGAAATCCACAAATCCCAAATCCATTGAGGGTCAAGATGAAAATATGGAGACTGACTTTCGGGAGAAAGATATTCCGTCAAATGTCTCTCAATCTTCAGATGAAAAGGTGTCCGATTGTAAAGATACTTCTCACGAACTGAGGGGATTCACAAGTACCTTGAAAAGCAATGCCAGTAACAAGAATGAGCGAGGTGTTGCAAGAAACCCAGAATCCTGCTTAGATCCAAATGGCTCCAACACGGATGTAAACCCCTGTATCGAAAAAGAATGTGCAGCAGAGAAGACAAATACTACTTCTTCCTCAGGTACAGATTGTAATGGTTCTGGTGTCACCAGTGACAGTTCATCTATTGATAGTGACAAGAACAAGCAAGGTATTGCTGGTCATATAGAAGCATGCTTGCAGCCAAAAAGCTCAAGCACAGACATACATTCCAGTTTAGAAGAGGAAATGAGAAAAGAAGAAACCACAACCTCTTCAACAGATCCAGATTGCAGTGGACCTGCTGTGACTAGTGACAATAAACAACAAAGTGATTTTAATAGTTCAGAACAGTGCTTAAAGACAAACATCTCAAGCACTGACATAAATCCCTGTCCATCAGAGAATACAAATACAACCTCTTCTCTAGATCAGCAACAATCACTACATCAAAGTCCCATGGGCCTAGAATCAGAAAGCTTGATTGAAGATGTTGCTGAAAATGCAAGAGAGTCATTTGAAGAGCTGGATATAGCCACTGAGGAACCATCAGTGCTTAGCATGGTGTATGGTGAACCTCTATCAAGAGAAGACTCGTCATGTGACACTGATGAAACAAAACTTGACACACGTCAACATAAAGTCACTTCTTTGACCACACCTGATGGTAACACCATGAACCATTCAGAAGGACAAGCACCTAGCAACCAGCAACTAAAATCCTCTCTACAAATGAGGAAACGCCTGCAGCCTGTTGTAATATTGAAAACCTTAGAGTCAGTAAACGTAACAAGTAACTCATATCATTGCGCAGGTTGCCAACACACAGAGAACAATGTGGATCATCTAATTGAACACCACTATTGTTGCCATTCAGTACACAGTTTCCAGCATTGTAACACTTGTAATATCTACCTGTTGAGAAATGAACCAGAAGAAAAACATTTGTGTTATGGAACTAGAGAAAGCCCCGAACTTCCTTCTAATCCCAGCCAACACAAGAAAAAACATCACGGCCGCCACAAGTGCATTAGGTGTGGGCTGACATTTTCAAAAATAATTCAGTATATCAAGCATATGCGGACTCACACTGGCAAAACACCTTTTCAGTGTAAGGGATGTGGATTATATTTTGCACAGGCTGGTAGCCTGCAAAGACACAAGCGTATACCTGGTAGATGCAAGCAGTCAAAACTTCCAGTTACAAATACTGATGCTGTTATCAACAAAACTACAACACTACCAGTTAAGGACTTGGTACTGAACAAACCATATGCAAATCTACCTGAATGTTACGTAAAGCTTGTTGACATCTCCAAAACTAACCTGTGTCGTGTATGTGGTAAAACGTTCTCAACTGAAGAGAAGGCCAAAAAGCACTTCTACAACGTGCACAAGGGAAAGAGTTTGGTGGTTTTGCCCAGTCGCTGTACCACAAAACCTAATGATGAGAACAGTGAAAAAGCAAAGAATGAGATAAAAGGAAAATATAAATGTCCTCTTTGTCCACGGCTTTTCAAGTACTCATACAACAGGGCTCGACATTTGCGTGACTGTGTCAGAGATAAAGTATATGGTGGCAAGGGAAAAATTGGTGGTAAATACCGATGTCCCTTGTGTCACACTACCTTCACTATGGCATCCAACCGATACAGACATATTAAAACAGTTTGCCTCCGAGACTGTCTTAATCGGCTGGCAAAAGAGAGGGCAAACACAAGGCAAAATGTTAAACAGGACGAAACAAAGGAAATTGAACAGAAAACAGTGTCAAAGGAAAATGAACAGAGAACACAGTCAAAGGAAAATGAACAGAAAAAACAAGCACCCCCAGCTTTAAAAGCCCACAAGAATGTACCACGTTACAAGTGCAATCTTTGTCCAGCAGTTTTTTGTCATGCTTCTGGAAAGTACAGACACATGAAGAAACATGAGTTGTTTAAACTCACTGGCAAAATGTTCAGGTACAGGAATTCCGTTTTCTCTACACTGTGTAAACCAGCAACTTTAGGTAATATAAAAGAAGAGAGTAAGGGTGGCTTAAAATCAATTGAAGCAAATCTTTCTCTAAGCTGTCATTTTTGTGGAAAATGTTTTGGCACGTCACAGTCACTGAAGAAACATGAGCGCAATCACAGAGGCGAAAGACCATACCGCTGTCTGGAATGTGGAAAACGATTCAAGAAACGTGCCTATCTGATTGGACATAAAATTGTTCACCAGAAGAGGATACAGTGCACTGTCTGCAGAAAAATTCTTCCAACTATTGGGGAGCTAATCCAGCACACAAGCTCGCATCTTAAAAAGGGAAAGCTTCAATGCCCAGACTGCCATCTGCAGTTCCAGTATCCTGCACATCTCCTCAGGCATCTAGACAGCCACAAAAATAGAGAAAACAAGGCATCTCAGCTTGAAGAGAGACCACAATTAAAACCACAGCAGTCCTTGGAAACTGTAAAAGAGCAGAGTGGACCAAAGCAGCTACAGTGTTCCTTATGCAAAGAGGTGTTTGATGATGCCCAAGTACTAAGAAAACATTGTCTTACACACATATCTGGGTCCTCGTCAAACCAGTGTCCATTTTGCAAACACAATTTCACTACTCGCCGCTATTTGCTGCGCCACATGATCAAACATACTGGAGCCAAACCCTTTTCCTGTAATGACTGTGGAAAACAGTTTTACCGTGACTTGTACCTTAAACTTCACAGTGAGAAGTGTTTACCTGCTCAAACCAGACGCCTTGTCGCAATGGAGTCCAACATGAAGACAAAGGGTTCACATCATTGTTCCTATTGTCCACGGGTGTTTTCGAAGAAAAACCGCCTGAAAAGTCATCACCGTGGTCACAACACAAACTCTCTGCTTCTATGCTCCAGATGTAGACAGTACTTTGGATTTAGAAAATTAAACCAACATCAAAGGAACTGTGTGGGGACAGAGCTCAACACTGGCTTATCATCTCCTAATGGCAATTTCAGTAAAAGTGCTTCTCAGACAAGTGATAAAAAGGCTTTACAGTCCAAGATGCTTCAGTTTAAATGTACTCACTGTACACAGAGGTTCAGGTACAAATCATTACTCTTGAGACATCTTGTTTCACATACTGGTGTGCAACCCTATGCATGTGTTCACTGTGGCCACAGATATCGAACCCAGACAATGTGTTTGCAGCACGAAGTTTTCTGTGATGGCGATTACAAAGAGGGCCAAGCAAAACTCAAAAGTGGTGCGGCAAAAAAATTGTCAAACATACCTGCTCTCAGAGAGGCAGGACAAAAGCCCCAAGCAGAAGGTGAAGCTGAATACAAGTGCAAATTCTGCACCAAGACTTTCATGAAATCACGAAACCTGAGACGTCACATCTTGACACATAATGAAGTGAAGCCTTATCGCTGCAAAGCTTGTGACAGCTGCTTTTCAAGGTATGATCATCTAAAAGTACACCAGAATCGTTGTAAAGGGAAAAGATCAAGATTGGAAGTCTGTATTCCCAAAATCAGTTTAGATGATGTTGGCAAGGGTTGGCAAAATAGGTTTGGCATAGGGCCTGCTGAAAAACAGGAGACATTTGAGTGTGAACTCTGTGTAAGGAGCTTCTCAACTCAATCTAAACTTTCTCGACATAACACTATGTTCCATGTTGCAAAATTATTCAAGTGCACACGCTGTGGCGCATCATTTGCTCATGAAAAATCTATGAAAAAGCATAGGAAGATGAGAAAGTGCAGAAAGGTATCCAAAGAAACAAATGCTTCTCTACCACTGGAAACTAATCCACCAGCAGAAAATGTGACCACAGCCCTTGATGGGGTGAGAAGCCGAGTTATTCAGAGGATCCAGCCTCATTTCAACAAAAAGTACAAATACGTATGTAATTATTGTCCCCGTGCTTTTGGAAACAGTTGGCAATTAGGCGTGCACACCCGCCTGCACACAGGAGAGAGGCCATATGCCTGTGATTTTTGTGGTCAGGGATTTATTAGGAAGGATTATCTACAGCGTCATTTCCAGAAATGCACCGAGAAAGTGCTCTGTGACAAATGTGGAGGATTTTTCCCAAAAGTCAAGCTTGAAAATCACAAAAAATGTTGCACTTCAGCACCAAGCTTATCGAAGTCAGCAGTTTGCCAAAGCCAACAGTCGATTTCTCAGAGCCCACCAAAAGGGTTTTCTTGTGCATACTGTAGTTCCCGGTTTTTGCTATTTTCACAGCTCCAAGAGCATTTTTTAGATGCACACAAGATGGAAACAATGGCCCCACCAGTGTCAACTGCTCCCCTACAACACCATCTGTCAAATATACCAAGCATCAAAGAAGAGCCTTTGGATGAGAGTTGTGACGAACGGCTTAGTGATGGTGCTAGTTTAATCTGTAAACTAGATACAGCTCTTGATGGGGAGGTCCCCAAACCATTGTCTTGCCCGGAGTGCAATATGTCCTTTTCAAATAAAGCTGGACTAACTGGTCATCTGCGTGTACACACAATGGTGCATCCTTTTTACTGTAAAACATGCAAGAGAGGCTTCTGGAATAAAAGTCTTCTCCGCAATCACAACAGGAAATGCAGATATGGACATATTTCACGGAGGAAAACAACCCAGGAGTTGGAAGTCCCTTTGAAAGCAGAGCTTGATTTTGCACTGAATGACTCTGTTCTGGTGTTCAAAGAAGGCTCCAAAACAACTGGCACTGGGGTTTTGCAGACCAACTTCTCATGTAAAGAGGACTTTATGGATGAATCTCCACAAAATTCAGAAGCAAATGAGGTGCAAGGCAACTCAAGCAAAGAGAAGAAAGCTGTGCAGTACCAGTGTTCAGAATGTGACCAGAGCTTTACAGATGGCTTAATGCTCATTAGTCATCTTGAAGACCATGGACGACAGGAACAAGAGAAAAAGCGCAATACATGTAGTAAGTGTGGGCGGGTATGTACTAGTCCAGGAAATCTTGAAAAACACATGAAGATTCATGGAGTCAATAAGAAATACTCTTGCCCTGACTGCGACAAGACGGTTGACACCTTATCTGATTTGGAAATCCACAGAACATGTCATGACTCCAATAGACCTTGTGCTTGCAAACTGTGTAATCAGAGGTTTTGGACAAGAGCATCTTTATGTAATCATTACAGTCAAGATCATCCAGATGATGTATATAATTGCCGTTTCTGTAACAAGACCTATGCAGCTAAAAAATCGCTGGCAAGACACTATAGGAAATGGCATCAAAAAGAGCTGAAGGATCGTGAAAGTACTGTACAGGAAAAGAGCAGCACTGAACAACAATCCTCTGGTCTGGTCAGTACGACTGGTGAAAGTGATGCAGATGAAAATAATGGCACTGAGGACAGCGACTCAGACTCTGCACCATACTTCCCGTGCCATGTGTGTGGCAAGACGTTTCCAACATCAGAAAGTCTTGAGGATCATCAGCGGTGTCACCTGGGTGAAAAACCGCATGAATGTGCAGAATGTGGTAGATGTTTTTTCCAGGCATCCCAGTTGCAGCAGCATCAACGAATGCACAAGTCTGAATTTCAGTGTCAGGCATGCGGCAGGGGTTTTGTCTCTCTCTTTGCACTGCGCAAACATAAGCATACTCATGGAAAGAGCCGTCCTCACCGTTGTCCCAAGTGTGACTTCAGTTTCACAGGGCCCTCACAGTTGGCAGAACACATGTCCACCCACCGCGAAGAAAACTTCCCATGTGACATATGCAATCTAGTGTTTCCTTCCAAGAGCAGTAGAGCTGAACATCGGAAAAGACACTCTAAATCAGGTCACCCACCTTCAGTTTCATGGAAAGAACAAGAAAAGTCTGCTTCACTTTCTGAAAGCTCATCAGTATTTAACAAAGAACTTAAATATCGCTGTGGTGTTTGCAGTGAGCGTTTCAGAGACCCAGAAGAGCTCTCTGAGCACGGTTGCATGGCAGCCAAAGAGCGACCATACTCCTGTTCAGAATGCGATAAACATTTTCTGCATGCATCTCACCTAAAAAAGCACAGGAACACCCATCAACTATCATGGTCTAATAATGAATATCCATGTAATCTCTGCAACAATAGCTTTTCCTCAGCTCAGCACTTCATCAACCATCTCAAGAGCCATGTTGATACAGGAATTAAACGTAAGACTGAAGGTAAAGACGGAGGTCCTTCACATGCTTTCATATGTCCAGTTTGCCATCAGTGCTTTGCCAGTGCCGGCGAATTGATTGGTCATTTCCCCGCGCATCTTGACAGATCATCTGGATGCAAAATTTGTACAGAACACGAGTGTCTTCACCTGACATCAACTACTGAATTTGAATGCACAAAGTGTGGCCAGAGCTTTTTGGGAAAGGATGCGTTCTGTCAGCACCACTGTTCCCACCAACAGCACACAGTAACTGAGAACGAGTACTCAAATCCATCAGCCCCTCCAACTTATCATCAAGCAGTAGGAGAGGAGGAGGAGGTTGATGTTACCGGAGAGGACTTGTACAATTGCCCTGTTTGCTCAATGCAGTTCTCTTCTAAAAGTGTTCTTTTGGAACATCAAAATAAACATCTCCCAAATGACAAGCCATTCAAATGTGGGATTTGTGGAAAAACATTTGCCGTGAAGCGGTACCTTAGAGAGCATGAGCGAAGGCATCGTCAAAGATATGCTGCTCAAACCACTGCCCAATTGACAGGAAACAAGCTCAGATGTACCCAGTGTCAGACCGAATTCAATACGGCACAAGATCTGTCGTTGCATATGAGATTGCATGCAGAGAAAGAAGTTGGAGATTACCGCTGTGACATGTGCTACAAGTCATTCAGCCAGTGGTCTCTCCTTAAGCAGCACCAAGAGAGTCATGTTGGCCAAGTTGTATATGAATGCAATGAATGCGACAAAGCCTTTGCTTTTCCTCACCTACTGGAGGAACATCAACAGACTCACGTTGGGTCCTCTCAGTAATGGTTGTTACCTACCATCTACCTTCTTTTCTTGAAATCCCTTTCATGCCTTACATCTGACTTTGTATGGGACTTATCTTTATTCAACAGCAAAGTCTTTCAATTTGAGAGCATGACGTCATGATTTCACATTCAGATTTTGTAATGCTTTCCCTCAAAGCCCTGCCTTCACACTCAAAAAGACTCCTTGCACTTTGATTTGCTCTGCCTCTGCTCTAACAGTATGCTTGCACTCAGATGTATTGTAACTTGCAAAGATATCCTGCACTCTATCTTCAACCCTTCTCCTCACACTTAGGCAGCTTCTGTGCAGTTGTGAAGCAGAATTCCAGGTGTAGTGTTGACCAATGAATCGATCCCTGCCTCATTGTAGGTGCGGTCACTCTTTAGTCTGCAAATATGATTCACTAATTTTATAGAATTAATAGCACAATTACAATAAAAAAAACTTTGGCGGTCCATAAGTCATGCTCTCGTTTTGGAAGACTGCACTCTTGAATGAGGATAAGAGAAAAGCCCCATTAGTGTACCTCCACTATTTGTTTTTTTTTAGCTGTTGATGGATGCTTGCAAAGCTCTTGGCTCATGTCAGTATGATAGGGCATCCTCCTGAGTTTCTATTTACATTGTATATTTTTCTGGTTCTGAAATTGGAATTTGTATACCCTAGATTAGCCACATAGTTACTTGACAGTGTTTGTAAATCTATGACAAAATTGTGTAAAGCTGTTTAATATTCTGGTTGATGAATATAGACAAAACATGATGGCATAAGATTCATGAAATGTCTTGGATAATGGCTGACATTTTTGATCGAACATCGTCATGTTTGACACTTATTTTGAAACCGTTTATAGTCAGTTTTGTTATAATATGTAAAATAGATTCAAAATGGTCATTTTAATCGATTGGATTTTTTTATGACTGTTCATGTACTATAGATCATTTTGTAATTTTCCGTTTTCACATTTCCCTGTGTTTGTCATGGGTTGCATTTTTGATATTGATAAGCATCTTGTACAGACTCAAAATGTTCTAATTGAATATTCTTTTCTCAATCCAAGGATGTTACTTTCTTAAGAAATTTAAGTTGATGCATTCAATTAAGGAGTAAAGTCAACTAGAAAATCTACATGTGTTTGTATTTATTTGTATTTAGGGGGAGGCTAACAGAAAGGAAGCTAAAAATATTAGTAAATGTTGTTAATTTAAAGG